TGGTATGTGAAGCAGGTCCCAAAACACTTGCCATATTAGAAACCACCGTTGCTGACCGGCAGGCCCATATCTGTGCCAAACACGTTTGCCAAGAAGGTGGCATCAGCAAAGGCAACTGTAGCGTCTAAGCCCTGGAAGAGAGTTTATATATTTGAGGTCCCCAGTGCTCCCTATCTGGTCACAGATTCCCAGGGGAGTTGGCTTCATTCTTAAAACTATTTCACATTTATCACCTTCTCTGATGGCGCACAAATGAAATGAAGAATCCACCATCCAAATGTGGCTGCGGACTCTAGACCTCTGGAAACCTGGAGGAGCTCAGGCTCCATGGTAACTGGGGATGGTGATCCACTAGGGCTGTGGGAGGTGCTTCCTTCCTGCAGCCATTGGCTGATGCCCATTTTCTCTTGTCTGGTCTCTGGGAGACACAGAGAGGAGCAGATCCTCAGGCCTCTCATTTCCTAGGAGACAGCCCGACTGCAGTGCACTGGTGGAGAGATTTGTCTTCCTAGTTAAGCTTACTTTGTCAGCAACAGGCCAGCGTTCTCCAAGTTACTAGGGCAAGTGCACAGTGTTTTCCCATTGTGATGAAAAGCAGATATCCCATTAAAAGTAATAAATTACTTGGTTATGTTTCATTTGAATTTTCAAATTTTTCTGCTAGTAAATATCCTTTGGCTGGGAACTGCATTCGTTCCTGTTGGTTTATGTTTTAGAAACTCTAGGGTTATTTTTTAGCATGGAGCATTGAGTTCAGTGGAGTACATTACATGCAAGGTGTGTGTTTATATATATATATATATATATATATATATATATATATATATAAATATTGCATTCTTCAGCAAGCGTTTCAGTCTGTAGGGTTTTTCTTCTGCATAGGGACATCTGTATTGTGCTAGATCAATGTTTGTGGAGATTCTAGTCCGTGGCTTGTCACTTGATTGCCCCCTTCCTGTCAGCTCTTTTCTCGTTGCATAGGAGTCTTATTGAACCTTTGCTATCATAGAAAACATCTGTCGCCAAAGGCAGCACTCTAGTGGCTTCATGCTCTGCTGAGGTCTGGACATGAGCGGCCATCTGCCTGAAGGCATCTCTTATGTTTGAAGCTTTCAGACACGCCCTCCTGCCAGCATCACCAAAGCTCCTCCTCCACACGTGGTCCTTCTCTGGGTGAAGAACACTACGATATAGTAGAGGGCTACTGTGAGCTGTCAGGTCCTCTTTGGTCTCTCATCCAACCAGCAATAGAGGTCATCTGATGCGCATTTAGCTGTTCCCTTCCTTGTCATCGCTGAACCTCCAGGCCTGAGCACCTTGCCCATCCTCTTCCCCAGGAACTTGCAAACTGCCTCCCAGCTGCCCTCCCCCCTCCAGACTTGCCCATACCCAATCACCTCCCCCTCACTGCTGCTAAACATGGTCTTCCTGAAAAGCAGAAGTTCTGATCTGATTAGGGCATATGCCTGCTTTAAATGTACCCCTGGTTCTCCACCACCTTCATAAGGAAACCCAGGGCCTTCAGCCTGACCATGAAAGAGCCTCGTTTGTTGGCCCTGCCCCTCCGGTCTCCTCACAAACTCTGCTCTCAGAATCCACATTCACACTTAGCTTACATTCAACCACTTGATTTTCTACAGTCCAGAAGACTCATGATCTCTCCCGAGTCAAATTATCAGTCAGAGATGAGGCTGTATGAAGACTTGGCAGGGCCTGGAGGAGGATTGTCTTCCAAGGCTCACACATGGCTGTGGAGTACTGTGGGCTGTTGGTAGGGAGACTTGGTTCTCTCTTGCTGGACTCTTCTCAGTGTGGTGGTTGGCTTCCCTCAAGATTGAGCAATCCAGACAGAGGTGAGGGGAGAGAGAAAGAGAGAGAGAGAGAGAGAGAGAGAGAGAGAGAGAGAGAGAGAGAGAACATGAGAGCTTCCTTTTGAAGTCTCTACTCAGAAATCGTGTAATATAACTTCTAACATGTTCTTTTCATTAGCTGCAAGTAATTAAATCTAATGCACACACAGGATTGAGAGTGGATTGAGAATGGGGGAAGGAGACTGGGACCTCATTTTTAAAAGAAGTAGAAGGAATTTCAGACAGATTTTATAGTTTCTATCAAAACCGGCAGTGAAGGTCTAGATTTGCTCAGTCTGTGATAGTTATGGGAGATACCCTAGAGGGTGGAAGACATAAGCTCTCCAGTGGGCCCCACTGCAGATATCAAGTTAGACACCAAGAGGGCTATAGCTCCTATAAACGGTATGACTCTGAGGGGAAAGGCTTCCTCTATGCAAGTGTTACAGTTCTGAAGGGAAAGGTATCTTGGCAGTTGAATGCCAAGAAATATCACAAAGTCACACCACACAACAAGCATACACAAGAGATATTGGAAAAAACACGAGATGGTGGCTGCCTCTGCTTGAAAGAGAAGCAGCAGGGAACCGGTCAGGAGGCAGGCTCATATGGGGGAGGAGTTTCCAGGGTGGGGATTGGTAGGATTTCAAGTCCTGAGCTAGAACAGCTCAGGGATTGGTGGGTTTTGGTGGGTTTTCAAACCCAGAAGTGGGCTCTTACTGTTTACCCTACGGTACTCTACTGGGAAGAGCGAGTGCACTGTTCTGTTTAAGGGAAGGTTGCTTTGTTAACTTTGGCCATAGTCAACTGCCCAGTCACTGCCTAGCTATGCAAGCTTCAGTGTTGCACTGGCCTCTGTGCTGTGCTTTGTTGTGTGAACCCACAGAGTCTGTTAAGGGGTCTCAAGAATTATATATAGGATAGGGATAAACACTCATTGATGCATAACAGATTAGATGATGCTGTTGTGACCTGAAGTTCTGACCAGGGAAGATGGGGACCACTTTTGGCTCCAACTACCTGAGAGGGAGAGGGAGAGAATGTATGTGACCCCTCTCCTGCCACTCTTGTAAGCAGTCACACATGCATACAAGATCACATCCTAGGGCTTGCGGCCCCAAAAGTTATCTGCGAAATGAATTGAAATCCCACAACACTTTCTCTTTTATTCTAAATAGGAAGGTTCTAATCCTAACATAAAACTATCTACAATAAGAACAGCTATCAAGTATTGTGCAGGAGAAAGAAAGGTAATTACATAAACAAAGATGAAACTACAACCAACAAAAACACCAAGCAAGAAATACATACTAAATGCCCAGGCCATAGGTAATTGGCAAATTACAGAAATTATTCCAATAGCTGTCCTATCCTAGGAAGTCTAAATCTTGTACCTAAGATGCCCTAGCTAAGATATGAGAGGATAGTAACTGTAACTATCTAATCTTCAACCCTCTAAAGACCTGAGAAGGAAAATAATATTATCCAAGTAAGCAAGAATTATAAGCAAGCGACCTCCAAAAGACAAAAGAAATGACAGAAACAGCTGACTGCTTGGACAGTCACACAATTTTTCTCTGTAACGTTGGGGCAGCCAACTTTGGCTATAGGCCTAAAATATCTGACAAACCATTTTCAGAAGCAGAAAAATTTGGAAGACTGTCTGTCTTACCCTGTCTTGGCAAGGTTCAGCAGTCACTTTTCCTTATATCTTGCTCATCCTGATTGGACAACATACTTACAGTCAGAAGTCGAGACAAGGACAATTCTTTGCCCAATAGGCTAATTTTGTCAAGAGAAAACAAGCTCTATATGGAGTATCTTCATATGCCTATCATTCTCTTGGGAGTAGATTGGTGCTATCAGGAGCAATCATGCCTCACATCTACAGTATTCTAAGTTATTGAAACATTTTCTGCCATATTCTGTAGGTCTTTGATATGTTTGAAGATTACCTATCTATACAGACTATATCTTTGTGCATCTAGAAATGTGCATCTAGAAAGCCTAACTAACAACGTAAGTATGAAAGATATGGGTGACAATTAACCTGTAATTCTTAATAATCTATATAGCTTAAAGACTAAAACTTCACATTATAAAGATAATCTGTAAATGGATACACAATATAAGGACAATGACCTCGAAACTCTGACAATATATAAAAATATCTTAATCAGAGGTAGAAAAGTATAGCACAATATAACAAAAAAATCCTTAATTTGCATCAATATATAAAATATCCTAAACAGAAGTAGAAACATAAGTGCAATATGACAAAAATATTTTGAATTTGTAACAGTATACAGTTTATCTTAAACAGAAATAGGAAAATAATTTTACATTTGTATCAATATACCAGAATCCATACCATTGCAAATTATCTAAAACTGATAGTTGCTATTTTAATTTACAAGTAGATACAATAATCTACCTTATTGTCCTATCATATCTATCCTTCTTTTTTCTATTTTAAATGAGATTTCTTAGTCTAATTTTTATTGTTCCACACCTAGCTCTACAACAACTTACAACCAATTCTTGCATATGACAAGCATCCATAACTCTGCAAAAAAACCAAAACGCATCCATCCACCTATTGGAAGAGGGGACATCAAATTCTTAGAATTGTTTTCTGCTGTCTAGGGGGTGACAGTATCTCTATGGGTCATACCCTAGGGCTTGCTGCCCCAAAAGTCAGTAACTAAATGGATCAAAATCCCATAACAGTGCTCCCTCAATGTTTTATGGGAACAAAAAAAAATAACTGTGACAACTTCAGAGAGCTGTTTTGAAGAGAAAATGAACCAGTGCATGGAGAGTTCTTAGCTCAAAGACTGGGTGGTAAGTAATCAATAAGTTTTACTTAATAATAATGCTTGTTTGTCTTTCTCAGAGTGCTGAGGGGCACCTCCCTGAGGCAGCATAAACTAAATGATACTCCAAGTTCCCTCCCAGACTTTCAGTTCTAAGAATCTTTGGGACCATGGGGCCCACCATAGACACACCCTGTGTGACCATCTAACTGACAACTCACCCCTAGTTCACATGGATGAGAAGCTGATGATGGCCATGCCCAGGGTGACCTTGAGATCCATAACATGTGATATCTGCCATTTACTTACCTGTATCTGTCTTTTTGTTTTCAAGGTCAATTTCTTCATATTCCTCAAAATTCTCAAACTTCTTATTTCTAAGCTCAAAGCCCATCAGATGTGCTTCAGAGACTATAAATACAGGTGAGTGGCCCAAGACCAGTGCTTGGCAACCCAAGGTGATCTTGACTCTCGTTGTTGATATCACCCATGTGATGGGAAGGGAGAACCAATGTATTTAATACTATTCTCATCCCTGTGACCAAACAATGGACCAGAAGCAGTTCATTGGAGGAAATACTGGTTTTGGCTCACAGTTTGAGAGAGTACAGTCCATCATGGCTGGGAAAACTTGGCAGAGGAAGCAGCTCACTTCCATGGTGGTGACAGCTTGTAGCTCATCTTCCTCACTTCTCAGCAGATCAGGAAGCAGAGACTGGCATATAACCTTCAATTACTGATTTCTTCATCCCTATGTCTGCCAGGTAGGCCCCATGTCTGGAAGTTTCTACAAGCTTCTAAACGAGAAAGCTGGGGCTTAATTATTCCAACAGGTGAACTCATGGAAGACATTTCACATCCAAAGCATAATACACAGTTGGTATTCGTGTATTTGTCACCTAAGGTGAGGGGCTAGACTAGATCCCTTCAGAAAAGGTGTTGGGGTGCTGGTGGGGGCTTTTGCCAATGATTAAGCTCTTCTAGCCTCATGACAACGATTTAAGTGGTGAGCAGTCACAGACACCTTAATTCGGCTTTCAGGAGACCATTAAAATGAATAGTTGTCTTAGTTAATTTCATGTTGCTGTGGTAAGTCACCATGACCAAGGCAACTTTTGGCAGAAAGGGTTTATTGGAACTTGCAATTTCAAAGGGATAAAGCTCATGATCATTGTGGCAGGAAGCATGGCAGGAAGCATGGCAGGAAGCCAACAGGCGTGGCATGGTAGCAGTAGCTGAATGCTTGCATCTTTTTCTACAAGAATGAGGCAGAAAGAAAGACACTGGGAATGGCATGAGCTTTGGAAACCTAAAAGCCCACCCCTGGTGACACACCTCCTCCAACAAGGCCATACCTCCTAAACCTTTTCAAGCATTCCTCCATCAGGAGATCAAGATTCAAACTGATGAGCCTATGGGGCCATTCTCGTTTAAACCATCACCGTGGTTTATGGAGTTAGGAACCCTTGTATGAAGGGCGGTTTTTGCTGCCTTCCTTGTGGGAGAATTTGAGGCAAAAAATGTTTGGAGTTCACAGAAATGCATTCATTACACGGTTCCTTTGTTGTGTGACTTACCTTGGTGGGATCACACGTTTAGTTCTCCGTAGTGACAACAGTCCCTACATCATAAGCCAGATGATAGGCTTTAGTTGAACACCTAATGAATGGCAGGCAAGGCCCTCTCCTTCTGTTTCTAGTTATTCTTCCAAGGTGGCATGCAAACTTGACCAGGGCTGCAAGGGAACGTGTGTTTTAACCAAAAGGAAAGCTCCGAGTCAGGGATTTCAGTCCACACCGCAGGCCACAAGCTGAGGGTGTGAGTGGAGACAGCTCCAGCTGCTCACTAGTTCTAAGATTGACTTTGGTGATAAAAAAGGTAGATACCCTCCCGCCATGTACAGGCAACTAGTCCTTGAGTGCTTCTGGTGTGCTTGGACGAAAGGGGAGTATGACGTCAGCTTCACCGTGCCTTAGGAGCATGTGTACTACTTTAAGGATGACATGGAGCAGACAGGAAGGAAGGGCTGGCCACACATCCCGGCTCCCTCACTGACCCTAAATAAGCTTAGCCCCTGTGGTCTGTTTTCTGGTATCTAAAATGGGAGTGTTGCGGCAGACCCATCTCCTATAAATTTTAACATCTGAAGGGCAGCCAGTTTAATCAGATACGGAGGGCAGCATTTGCTCTAGACCCAGACCCTGAGCCCATCATCTCAAGACTCTTATTCTAACACATCTAGAAGAGTAAGCCTACCCAGTCCAGGAAAGAGCATATATATACTGTAATCGCTCCTTAGGGCTTTCATTCAAACATTTGGCAGAAACCCTTACCCCTGGGGAACTGACCTGGTCTGGGCCCCAGGGAACCCTGCTATCTCTCCTGGCGCCTCTGGTCCAGACTCCAAGTGGTCAGGCATCCTCTTTGGCCCGTTTCCCAAGGTTCAGCCTCCTCACACCACTGTTCTCAGGGTGGAACTCCAAGAACAGGGGGGCAGAGCTGCCAGAGTCCACTCAAGGAACCCCCCTGCGACATGCATGAGCTCTGACCACCAGGGTACCTCCAGAAACGACAGAGGCAAAGATGTAGGAGACAGGAGTAGAGAAAGGTGAGTTCTGTCCTAGCTAGGGGTCCCGTAACTGTGGTAACACACCATGACCAAAGCAACTTGGGGAGAAATGGTTGATCTCATCTTTAGCTGTCGCTCATCATCTGGGAAAGTCAGGGCAGAGGCAGGACTCAAGGCAGGACTCAGGAGGCAGGAACTGATGCAGAGGCCGTGGAAGACAGCTTCTCACTGGCTGATTCCTCAGGGCTTGCTCAGCTTGCTCTATTATAGCACCCAGAACCACCAGCTTCAGAGTAGCTCCACCCACAATGAGCTGGGTCCTCCCACATCAATCATCAACCAAAAAGCATGCCTGCCCATGAGCCAATCTGGTGGGGGTGTATTCTCAGTTGAGATTCCTTCTTTCCAAATGGTCCTGACTTATGTCAAGTTGTCTTAAAACCAACCAGCATACATCCCATGGTCCCATGAGACCCAAAGACTGACACCTATGGCTTTGCACCCATGGCAAAGTCCACCAAGTTTCCCTGACTTGAGGGTAAACTGCGGCAAGGGTGAAGGGCGTGCACATCCTCACAGGCTGACAGACCCTCAGCCCCTTCCCCCATCATCATTCTCTGTGGTCTCCAAGAATGAGACAGGTCTCTCCCTTTATTAATGCTTTTGCTCTCTGTGTGGCATATGCGGCCCGAGCTCACAATGAATTTACAGGGGAAAGCCATTTCTTTACATAGCTCACCCATTCTCTTTTCTGAAAGGAGATTTTGATGGTTTGCATGAGAGAGGAAAGGTTTAACTTAGACTCATAGAGACCTCGACTTGGGTTGGAAAATTGTATGGATTAGATGATTAGGCAACAGAGACATACAGATTTAGAAGTTTTGTGCATCATGGGAGCTTTTGCAAGGCCATGAAGGCACAAAGAAGTGGTCAAACTTGTTATTTTATTGCTAGATTTGGTAAGGTACAGACAGTCCTGGAGAGATATTACTGGACAAATGGGGCGGGGTCTGGTAGTAATAAACTGGGGATGTAGCGAGACCCATGAGTTCACATGCTTCTCTGTGGCCCGACATCTTCAGTAATAAGGCTACTCCTTTCCTGTGGGAAAGGGGCAGGCACGTCTCAGGGCATGCTTCAGGAAGAACTCAGAAAATCCTTCCTAGGTTACACACACTGCTGCAGGAGAACGAGGGCGAAAACACAATAATCTTTCACTTTGACCGCGTTTCCAATCCCTTCAGCTTATCCCACTAGGAACTCCATCAGCAACAGACCAGTGATGTCATGAACGGAAGCTAAACTGACAAGAATCATTGGAACTATAGCACCTGCCCTGCCAGGGTCTTCAGCGTAACTTAAGAGAGTGTGTGTGTCGAAGATTTGGCCTCCATCTTGTGGCACCATTGGGGACAGGGTGTAGAGTGTTTGGGAGGTGGAGCCTAGTAGAAGGAAATGGCTCTCTGGAAGGGGTAATTGGAGGCTGGTCTCTTCTGCATTCTCTTTGCCTTCAGGTCACCATGAGGTGTGCAACTTTGTGGGTCATGTTCTTCTCTGCATGTTGTGATGTTTCCACATAGTCCATCCCCCCAAAAAAGTGGTCGTGAGCATGGTTTAAGCTTCTGAAAGTGTGACCCCGAAGCAAGTCTCTCCTCCTCTCTCACAAATGACATCAGAGCGATGAAGCGCAGACTAAACCATCTATTTAAAGGCACTTTTTAAAAAGATGGCAGCCGAGCATGGTGGCACAGGCCTGTCATCCCAGCTCCTGGGGAGGCTTAGGCAGAAGGACGGCAAGTTCAAGGCTAGCATGAGCTGTAGAGTGAGGTCCAGTCTAGCCTGGACAAATTCGCGAGACCCTTTATCAAAATTTTAAGTAAAAAGGTGCCTGGGGAATTGTTTAATCAGGAAAGTGCTTACTGAACAAGAATGAGAACCCAGGTGTGAATTCCCAGTCCCTGTGTGCAAATCCAAGGAGGTAGAGACAAGATCTTTAGAGGTCACTGGCCAGCCCGTCCAGCTGAATTGGTGAGTTCTAGACTCAGTGAGAGACAATAGCTCAACAAAGAAGGTAGAAAGCAATTGAGGAAAACACCAGACACAGACAGACAGGCAAACAGACACACATACACACACACACACACACACACACACACACAGCATTACCTGTCTAATCCATATGAGGACCCTGCCCGGTCAATACTACTATTATTATACTATTATGTTATATGTTATACTATATATACTATACTATTATATTTTATATTATTTGTATAATCGTCTTTCTATAAACGAGGAGACTAATGGACAAAGAGGTTGAGGAGTTTGCCCAAGGCCTCATCGAGTGGTTGGTGACAAGGCTATTTGAACCCTGACCCATGTGCTGCCCGTGTGTCCTACTGCCCTTGGTGTGAGCTCCCCACTCCCGCTGTACCCACTCATGTACCCAGAGCAGATGAGCTAATAAATATTTGTTGAACACTTCCATGACTGCAACAAACTGTACCATTTAAATAAACAAGTGTCTATGGATGAAAAAGAAGCATACCCGCAGTCTGTAAGAGTAAACGTCTGTGACTATTTATGGCTTTCATCTGGGCTGGGACACAAACTGTCCTTTTGTCTAAGGAGACGCTAGAAGGGCATGAGCAGTGGGAGTTACAGCCTGTGTCTACCCAGAGGGCTGGCAGTGACAAAAGTGGCCCAATATGCCATTGGATACGTGATGTTTGCAACTTGAATCCTAGCTGTGGACAGGATGGAACTGGAAAACATGTAAAATCTAACAACGTCTAGAATTTATCCCTAGTCTGGTTCCAAGGCTGGCTTCCTGCTGTTGACGGATAGACTACGGCCACACCATCTGTGAGCGCTAGGGAAATGGAGGGAAGGGGATGTGGAAGCCCTCTGTGTTCTCTTTGATGCCATTCTGTAGAAGTAAAGTCATTCCGAAGTTAAAATGTATTTTAAAAACCCATAATTGGGCCAGAGATATGGTTCAGTGTTTAAGAAAAGGACACATATTACACTTGCAGAGGACCTGAGTTTGGTTACTAGACCCAAGGTCATATGGCTCACATCAACCTGTAAGTGGACAATCAGATGCTTCTGGCATCCATAGGCACCTATACTCATGTGCAGAAACTCAGAATTGCCACAATATGGCCCAAGCATCAATTGCTAATGAGACATGGGTCTGCACGTATGTTAATGTGTGTTATTAATCCAGATAACACAGAGTAAAGAGTCACAAGTTCAGACTCTTTTGCCGGTGCAGAGCAAGTGACGTGAAGAGTGCAGGCCGTGAGGCAGCTGGAGACTGCAGGTTCCCTCTAAACTTTAGAGTCGAAAGGGAGAATCATTGCCACGCAGGAGTTTGGGGCCTGTGTCATCAGATTTAAAAGATTAAAACTTGAGCATCTTCGCTTACATCTCCTTACTAAAGATGGCTCCTAAAGTAAAAATAACTCTATGACCTAAGCCAAGGAGTATTCAGGTCAGCTCTCAATCTTTGCTCTTTGTTTGGCAATCTTTGAGCCAAAGGGGTCTAAAAACTTTCCAGGACGTTCAAATCAACAAAATAACCCTGAGGCCCAGGGCATGTAGTTCAGTGATAGAGTCATGTGCTCAGCACACGTGAAGCCCTAGTCTCAATCCTCAGCAACCAAAAAAAGGAAAAGAAAAAAAATTCTCGCTGAAAATATTCTTTCCTAAGTGACTCCCATGTGGGTGGGTGCGGGGGCAGAAGTAGATCTGAGCTCCCTTTGGGAAAAGCAGATATCAGGGTCTGTTATTCACCTCCCCAGTTGCTGGTTCCCTTGACAAGGCTCTGGGGACATTCGACCCACAGGAGCAGGTGGAGTCCTTTCTGTGTGACGGCTCTAAAGAAAAGGGTTTTGCTGCATGGATACTCATGCATTTGAATGCATCTCATAGACGCAGAATAGAGTTCAATCTTTTGGAAAAATGGCATATGAACTGCTGACTGTATTGACTTCCTACATCTTTGTGTGTGTGTGTGTGTGTGTGTGTGTGTGTGTGTGTGTGTGTGTGT